ATTTCTTAACAAATTTTGCTAGAATGCATAGACTGTGAGAGCACAATACAGTTTTTGTATATAAAAGCAAAGATCACCTCTCCCAACAAAATAAATGTCAAAGCTGGTGTTGTGGCTTCATCACCAACCTGAGGCCACTAGTTTGCAGCAACGCATAAGCACGAAGTCCAAAGGACTATTGTGCTGTGCTAGTATTATTTACATATATATAATTAAATATTTACACGATGGATTAGTAGTGTTTTGTAAATTATTGTACAAATAGTTCTAAACTTAACAAAGTTCTCATAAGATAGAGTATATACACAAAGAGAATTTGGTGATGTTTCAAAGTATCTACATACAATTTGATTAGTCAGAAAACTGCCAATATATGGTGTCTAGTTTTGACAGGAGAGGAGACCTTTATAGATCAAATTTTCTCCCGGCAAAATTTTCCATATACATAGTATTGAAATGAATATTTTTTTCAATGAAATCTAATCTCTTTTTTTTTTTTAAGATATAATTAAAAGCATATCTAAAAAAATCATTGATATTTCCTCTTTCTTCCATTCTGTTAATTGTAGCATACACCTACCCCCAATTTATACGGTAGATACGTTCTTGAGAAAAACGTGTAAATTGAGGGATAGGTGTATATTAAACTGTCAAATCTGAATAGGTGTTCGCCCCCTCATGAATCAGAGCCTCCCAATATTCTTTTCAACATAGGTAGTATAGAGTAGAATATCGCATTTTTAGTATAGTGCGATAAAAAAAAAAAAACTTATTTGGAAAACCGTGTAAAAGCGAAAATGTGTAAAACAAGTACCGTGTAAATCGGGGGATAGGTAGAAAAAGGCTTCTTTAAATTGTCTCTTAAAAGAGATTAGATTCCATCTGTATAGTTTTTTATCTATTTTGACAGGAAACCTTTTTTTTTTTTATAGAATAATAATCAAGAAACATGTTGTTGTTAGCATCTATCAAGTCTTGTTTGACTTTATTTGACTATATGATTTTGTCCATATAGTTTTCTCAGCAGTGATTGATACAGTGAAGTGGTTTGACAGTGCCTTCTTCTGTCTATGCCGTTGGCCAAATAACTTTGACTCTTCCACCTTTTGGGCTGATTTCTACCCCAGGGACAAGAGAGTGTCCTTCATTACCAGAATGAAGTCAAAAGCTTATCCTGGCTTTCATTCGGTCTCCTTCTGTGTTAACCATCCATTAGGATGTTGTCTGTCCTTTACCGGAGTTGTACTCACTCTGGAAGGTACAAATATGGGTTTTACCAATCATTGGGATAGAAACTATATTTAATTTTTCAAGAACCCACCAGTACTTTTTAGAGATACTTGATAGATACATTTTTTTTTTTTTTTTGCTTATCCCTAGTACACGTGGTACAGGCCATGATAATCATGGTGGGTAGTTAGCGACTGCTTTTTACTGTAAGTGCACCACATGTCTACACATGTGAAAAGCAGTTCGACTTTGCACTTACAAATATGCCAGTGCCCCCGTTTGGTTACTTGCACTCGCTGGTGGGGTTGGAATTTTGCAAGAATCGGGGGCCTTGAAATATCCTAAGATGTAAAAGTATTTATTGATGACATCACAGCAATGAGTCGACAATTATTAACAAGTCAGCAAAGCTAGATGCAATACATAATGCATTTAAAATAATGTTATGATAAAGCACAATTTAGATTACAGATTATAATACAAGAAAATAAGACCTAATCCTTTAGATTTCTTGAATGTTAAGTTTAATAGACAAAAATGGTCATTTTGGCTACCAAAAATGCTCTTTGTATAGTGTGTCCGCTCACAGAAGTTTTAACATGTTATTTTTTTAGGATAAAATTGTATACAAAACGGCTCTGCAGAAAATATATAGAAATCTCATAAATTTTGCCCATACTCATCAAGGACAGTTATTAAGCCATTTCTTTTGAATTGAAGAAATTCTCTGAATACAGTACATATATAGAGGGAGTATTCTATAGCCCCACCTTTAATTCTCACAAGGTAATAAATAAGGTATAATACTATAACAAAATGGTAATTTATACATTATAGCATAGTAACAACCTTTTTTGTTATCCCATATTCTGATTAGAATACTGAATGTAGAAATTTAAACTATTTTTGATGCATATACAGTAGAACCTTTCTGTAAAGGACACCTAATTGCAAAGCCAAAGTGTCCTTTAGGGAGAGGTGTTCTCTTACCGGAGAGTTGCCTCTTCTTCTTTCTTATCTCCACTCAATCATATTAGGGTATCAAGCCAGAACTCTGCCATTGCCGGTCCCAAGCCCGGATAAAAAAGGAGGGGGAGCAGTAACAAGCTCACTAAAAAACCTGGGCTCAGCTGGCCCGGCTGATAGTACCCTGCAAGGGCTCCTAATCCTTGGATACAGGATGAGCTTCGTTTGTACTCCATGGTAGAAGCGGCTGCACATGGCGTCTGTTCCTCATGTCAGAAGGCGGCCATTTCTTTTGGAGCTAAGTCAGCCTGCCACTGAGTAGTGCTCCCAGTCTTAATGACAAAGGCAGATGCATTCTACTTCACCCAATCATGATGGTTGTCATGTCTCAAGCTCTACAAGCTTGATACCCTAATATGATTGAGTGGAGATAAGAAAGAAGAAGAAGGGTATCAAGCTTGTAAAGCTTGAGACTTTTGATGGTGTCTGCCAGGGATGAGTAGAGCTCATCAATGAATGAGTCTAAAATTGTAAAAAATGGTAATTTTGCAAATGAAAACTGTCCTTTGTGGAGAGGTGTCCTCTAGCGGGGTGTCTGCTATAAAGGGAGGTTCTACTGTATTTCTTTTTAAATACAGTGGACCCTCGGTTTACGAGCACCTTGGAGTACGAGCTTTTCGCAGTACGAGCAAAATTTTTTGAAAAATTTTACCTCGGATTACGAGTGAAATTTCGCATTACGAGCAACTCGTGATGGTTGCCCGTAATCATGATGGATGAAAATTCACTGGGATCCCTCCCTTCAGATCAGATTCGGGAAATATGTAAAATGTGGGAAACTGTGCAATTGTTCGTAGCAAGAAGAATTACCAGAGTTTCAATTATTAAAAATAAGAAATTAGTTTCGCACTACGAGCGTTTTGGAGTACGAGCATGGCTCTGGAACGGATTATGCTCGCAAACCGAGGGTCCACTGTAAAACAATTTTCTACTGTCCTTACTGCAATGATAAAAATAAATGAGAAGGCCTGGCTCATCGGTGTTGAACTCTTCCAGTGGTTTCGTCAGTTTAATCTACCATACTGTTGTAATATTGCATTTAGATGTTTTCTTTGTATACCAATATTGAAGCTAAACAAGGTAAAAAGACCAAATCCAAATAAATAAATAGTGTGTGACGTTTCGGTAACAGCGTTGTTACCATCTTCAGACAAAAGTACTGAATGAGAGAATTTTACCACTGCATGCTTTTAAATAGTTACTGTTATCAAGTGTGTAAACAAGATAACAGATAAGAAGAAGATATTTATCTGATAAACAGATGGGATAAACACCTGATGATTATTTTAATTCTATTTAAAAGCATGCTGTGGTAAAATTCTCTCATTCAGTACTTTTGTCTGAAGATGGTAACAACGCTGTTACCGAAACGTCACACACTATTTATTTATTTGGATTTGGTCTTTTTACCTTGTTTTTATAATCTAGACTAATTTAACCTATATTATTAAATGTAAGCGGTACCTTGTAGAACATGTTAAAACCTACCTACCTTTGTTTTTATGTTGTTGCCAATGTTTTAAGTCTCTCTTAAATGTTTCATAAAATTATATGATATATGATGTAGCTTTTCATAACAGTTTATAAAAGTCACAAATAATGAAAATTTGTTAGAATATTGGTGAGATACTAATTTCAGAAGACTATTTTATGTTGTCTTATATTTATTTTTCATTTATTTGGGGGTTTTTATTATTTTTTCCTATGGATCCAAAAAATGAGATTCAAAATTGTACTGCTGGTCAGGGGAGTACATTTGTCATCTTTTAAAATACAATTATTATTTAAAATATCCATTTATTCTGTATCCATAATATACCCAACATATGTAGAAAAAAATTATATAAGTACGCGTCA